AACGAGCGGGCGAGCGGCCGCCGCCGTCTCATGCCAGTGAGGTACCGGATCCGGAGATTAGGTGCCGCTCGCTTCCCTCTTGATTCACCGGCCTTCCGTGCCCTGCGGTGCTGCCGCGCTTACCGGGGGGCCGGCGCGCTGCGGTGTTGTGCGTAGAGTTGAGCTTCCTTCAGCTTGAGCATCCAGCCCCGGCTGGGCTTCGTCCCGGTGACGCGATATCGGCGCTCTGTGCCAAAACGCTGGTATGTGCTCGCCTTTCCCACAGATTGCCCTGGGGACGCTGCGGAGCCGCGCCCGCCCCCTCGGCGTAGCGCTAGTTCAGCCCCGGGCTCGTCCAGCTCGGCCCCATCGAGCTGCTGAGGTCCGAAAACCCTTCACACTTACCCCTTCCTTGGTCAGCGGTCTGTGCTGTACACTGTAGAATTTAATTCCAGGTCTATTTGTTTTCAATAAATTATTCCTATCCTCAATAACGCCAACCAGCTTCATAACGGCGAACCCTTCGGTTTGTTTCCAATGGGTCACTTTGCCATCACCTCTTCTTCCAGTGCTGGTTGTGGTTGCCTGCCCTTTGGTTCCTAACCCAACGTCTAGGTCTCCCAATGATCCAAGAACAGGACTGAGTTCACCTGATGAAGTGATAGTGCATTTTACCCTGCCTGAACCTCCACTTGTTGCAAAAGAAAATGGCTTCACACTTCTTAAAAACTTCTGCATGCTGCCTATGCTGTGCGCTGAGCGTAAGCAAAGTGTGGCTAGCCTTCCATCATGCACAGTGTTCCAGCATATTTTTTTTTCTAATAAAATACATAAAATCTATGTTATATATATTTCCACTGCTGCTTTTCTAGTCTGCACCCACATGCCAGATCCAGCTAATGTGTAATACTAATCTCTCAGAGTTTTCTGCTGCCTGAGTTATTTTAATTCCTATTTTTCATCTTGCCTTTGCCCTCATAGTTAATACCAACATGGGACTTGATCTACATTGTCTTTAATCTGTATTCCTCCTTAACAACTTCCCTGCTCTCTTTTGAGCTGCATGGACACAGATACTTGAGCTATTTGTTTGCATATCCTTGTTTTTTTGGATAATTCTTACATTTCAAGACTTTCGAGAAATAGTTTTCCTAACATATTAACCAATTTCTTCTACCTTAATGAAAAAGCTAACTTTTACTGTAAATCACTTGCCTTAAAACCATGAAGAAATTAGAGATATTTACCATGACCAAGTCTCGGATTAGGTTTGAATCCCCTTCGGAAGAGGGCTTCCAAAATTCTGCATTTATGTTTTACCCCAGATTTGTCCATACGCTGACCTTCTATACCATTATTAGCAATGATTAGAAAATTAGAAAAAAACTGAAACCCATTGCTAGAGATAACCCACAAGATGGAGGAAGAGGCTGCTTGGCATGTTTTATTACTAGCTGTTAATACCACCAAAACCTCTCATCTTAGTACTCTGAAGACACCTGTTATAAATTTTGACCTAAACTATGTAAATTCAGTAAGAGTTACACCAGCGGTATTACAAATGCATTTGATTTTCTCTCTGATCATGTTCTGAATTTAACAGTGTCTAAATCCCATAGTCCATTTGTCCTATAAGCACCAAAGCTGTGAATCGTCTTGTAATTACTTTCTTCAGATTACTTTTATTGCTATTATTTTTAACCAAAACTTCTTGTATTTTACTTAAACTTTTTTGTTTACAAGTGTGGACTGCTTATAGACTTCTGCAGTGGAGCAAATAAACAAGGATACTTCAACCCTTCTAGTGCAGTGCACTGATACACAGATCCAGCCATGCCTGTGGAAGGGAAAAGTGATATGGAGAGAATTGGCCTCTTCAGTGAAATGGGTTATGTTACCATTGGAGATAAATATGTATCACATTATATGCGTAAGTATATTTAATTTTAATCACTTTTTTTGTGATAGGGACCACATTTAGTATCCATCTATTCTCTAATGTATTATTTTTTTGTTAGAGGGAACTGCTTTTTCATACGTGTTCTTTGTCAGGTCTGTTTTATTAAGAGAAAGGGTTGATACGTTAGAATGAATGTATTGAAGAAAGGAGGAATCCAGTAAAACTGAAAAATATGGATGCACAAGAGTGATAAAATCTTGTAGTGTATACGTTGCTTTTAAATATTAATTATCTGCAAGTTACCACTATTTTCCTGCTTTTGTGAAAAACAATAGTGGGGTTTTTTGTGCTCTTTCAGCAGATTTTCTATGGTTGACAACTACATTGTCTTAACTTTTAAATCAGTGTCACAATTTTTTTTTCTGTTCTGATCTGACTCATGTGCGTGAGATCGCTCATCTTGTCTTTTTAAAGAATATTCTCCTTGTTGTTTCCTGGGAATACTCATTGAGAAATGTAATTTTTGTAATAGTAAGGTTACAGAGGTTCACCCTCAGTAGCTGCTTTGAAGTGATAATGCAAAATAATCCTGGCTTCTCAATACAGGCATTTCTGCTGTGTTGTGTCAGTGATGAACACGTCCGCCAGAACCCCAGCTACTTCTACCACACTGAGCTGCTGGGGATTCGAAACCCAACTGGAGGCACTTAAGCTATTCTATGTGGTCTGTAATCAGTGAGAGAGAAATATGCTCTACTGAAGTATTAACTTGTAGTATATAAATAGGCATCAGCTTTAGCTCTGAATTGCAGTCTGGAGTCTCCATTGCCTGTAAAGCAAGTGTGGGGGTTAGAAAACTAAAACTAGGTGCTGTGAATACCTTCTCATAGCATTGTCCTTCAGACACAACCGCTTACATGGATGATTTACAAGTTAAATACTCTTGTGCATTCTTTGAGACACCCAGATCCAGACCTTAGTTTTTTAATGTAGGCTAAGAGAAGCACTAACATCAAACAGTTATTTACAGTGCTTACTTTTTTAAAGGCCCTTGTAATGAAGCCGCGACCAAGAACAGACAGATGTTACCTGGGGGCACCAAAACATTGTCAGCTCTGCAGGCAGGTTATTTTGAGCCTCAGTTTGTGAGGATTTTCGATGGTGAAGCCTACTCAAACCCTGCTCAGCTAAGGAGACGCTATAGATTGGCAGAATCAAAGAAAAATTTGGACAAAGCTTTCCTTCCTAGTAATGGAGACAAATTGCCGTAAGTGTTGTGAAAACGTTTTAAATTGATCTTTTTTCTTTTCTCTACGCTAAAGATGATTTTCACAGATTTCTTGTATAACCTGTAATGAGAGTACAATATTGTTGTTTTATCCAATATAGTGTTAGTCAGTACTGAGCAAAAAATTTTGATCAGCAACAGGGGAAAGGCTGAACAAAGGTAGAAATCATGTCCTGATGCTTGCTCTTAACTACTATTTTTTGCTGCAAACAGTTTTCTTACCCTTTTGCTTTTTATTTTCAATGAAAATGAAGATGGATATGGGAAAAGGGTGTGGATAATTAACAAATGAATATTTCGTTGTAATTTAGGGGGAAATCTGTCAGAACTTGTCAGATATAGTATCTTCTCCTTCCAGTTTCTGAGCCTTCCGAAATAGAGATGGCATATATCTTGTATGAACAGTAGGAGAAGGGGCCATTATCCAGGTGCAACGTCTTTCTCTCAGCAAATCCATATCCATTATCTTTTTGCTAGAAAAAAATACCAATTATCCTTTAGGTTGATCAGAAGATGTTACAGAGCTGAGGAATATATGCAGAATATTAAAATAAATGTATCTTTGCTATTTGCACATTAACTGCATGACAAAATGACACCAATGCAATTGGTGTCATGTAGCTATTATTATTCACATCTAAAAAACAGAGCCTGGATACTCATTTATAACGATACAATCTTGGTTTGTTTTTGTTGCTGCAGTGAGACAGGAGGATTCAGGCTGTGTACAGGGCCTAGTTCTTACAGTCTCATAGTTATATTTAGTCATATCTTTCTGCAGCTTTCCTTTTGGAAAGTTTGGAGAATAACCTATTCTTTATTTTATATATAAGTTTTAGGATGCAAGGATTAGCTATGTTCTGTTGTATGTTACAGGGACATCTTAGCTTTTCATAGGAATGTAAGACATGGTGTGTCAGCTTTCTGTTGGATATGCCTATACTGTTTTTGATGGAACAGGCAATGTGTGAGACTCGTGTTCAAAACTTCCTTTCATCCACAACTTTACTTCATAGCAATCAAGTTATTTATAAGAATTTAACTGTTAGAAACACCTAGGCACTGATTTCAAATCCACGTCAGTCAATGAGGGTCCTGTTCACTTACTTTCTGGGTTCCAAGTCCAACAGTGGGAGTCTTGCTTACAACTAAGACCTGCTAATGCACTCTCTTCCATGTACTGCCTCTACAAATGCACTTGTTGGCTGTGAGTGCAACAGCTCATGCTGTTATTCTTGCTTTAAGATTTCAAATTCTTCTAGGCATGACCATTAGGATAGGTTCTTTATTGTCTTTATCCTCCCCTAAATCCGTACTGGCAAAGCAGTTCAGAGCAGAGGCAGGGAAAGTGGTCAGGTTGTCTTTAATGGAATTGCAAAGCACTTATGGAGAGCTGACTCCCATCGTAACTAGGGAACTAGCGCAGAGCTCTGTTGCTGTTCATTGAGTTGTTCTTGGCTGCCTGAATGATAAGCCGCTCTTGGGAATCGTTCCTTTACATTAGAGCTGCGGTCGTTGTTGGTTGCAAATGGAAAGGCTGCAAAGAGATGTCCCATTCCGAAGATGTGACTGAAGCCTGTCTGTTCTGTTATTTTGTTACTGGCATATAAAAAGCCAACATTTAAAGAATATGAAATAAAGCACTTCAGAGGTAGGAAACACTAAGATAAATGTTGTCTGTGCATTGTTGGTTTGCCCATTTTTTTCTATATATGATTTATGAAGTCCCTGAATAAAGAGAGGGTAATGAATGAAAGGCAGGTTATCATTCTGTGCAAACATAAGAAATGTTATCTTGGCATCCTAATCCTATCAGTATTAATTAATGGCCCTTTTAAGTAGCAAGTCATTGAGGCACTTTACCTTTTCCCCACAATAATTGCAGACAGTACAGGCAAAGCAGATTACCTCAGCTATTTGGAGTAGTTGACAGGTCTCATACAGTGGCCTCATTTGTTTTTTTCCATTCTGTTTTGGGGTATGGGGGCAGGTTGTTGGTTGTTTGGGGATTTTTTTTTTTTTTTTTTTGACTGCTGCAGCTTAGTGGACCAAATTGCCATTCAGCTATTTCATTAGTTTTCTCAGGTTTTTCTCCTTTAGCAGCTGCATGATCATGTACTTTGAAAGCATGTCATGCACTTGTCAGCAAATACTGATTTTCAAGTTGTTTTTTAAAAAACAGTCTTTGCGAATGTCTACATTTAGCCCATATCCAGGGCTAAACTATAACAGCCCAACAATCCCTCACCAGCCAGGGAGGGGAATGAGGAAAAGGAGAGCAGTCCCATCAGTAGAAGTGAAAACAGATTTAATGAAACACCACCAATACCAAAAAAGGTATACAAAGTTATACTCAGTCAAACTGGAAACAGCCAACAGGAAAGCAGTCCCTAGGAGTAGGGAGAAGCCAGAAGGGAAACAGAAGAACTCCCCCAGGAGCTCCCCTTTCTCAGCAAACCTTCCCCCTTTATAATGACCATGACATTATGGGATGGGCTACACCTGCAGCTAACTCAGGTCAGCTGCCCTGGCTGGCTCGAAACTGCTAACGGCCTGCCTAGCCTGGCTGGGCTTTGATTCTATCCCAGCTAAACCAGGACAGTGAATTTCTTCAGCTGTGTTGGCTGAGGTATTTCTTCTAAATGAGCTGTACCTCCTTTTACTTTCCTTCAGTGACAAGACAGAAAGTTAGTTAGTCTGAACATCTCCCAGGAAAAAAACTTGTCAGACAGGTACCCCACATCGCCTGCCACTCTGTTATCATACCAACGCTAACTTACTGTTCTCTGTGAACTTGTGGGATAGACTCTCCTCTTGTCATTAAGCATCAAGTCTGTTTATCCTATCCCTCTGTGTCTCCGTTTGTGAATCTGCTTCTACTAGTGTTGCTTCACCTTGGCGCATAATTAAAACAACCTCTACGAAGCATATTTATCTTATTAAGATGCCATAAAACTTAATCTCTGACACCATCTTGTTTCTTTTTTGTCCATAACACTGTGCATGGCATTGCTGTAGTAGCAGATTTATATTTAACTCTTGAGATGTATATACTGTTTGGGTTTTCTGCGTACAGTTGTTTTAGCACACTAGATATGGAAAGTCTGAAATAAGTGCAAAATGTTAATTAATGTTCATTTGCTATTTTTAGATGTGGACTTGGCAGCTATTATGGAACCATAGGAGGTTCATGTGCCTACTTCAGTCCACAACTGAGAGCCAAGGAAAGATACATTCCTCCTGGAAAGAACTTTTATACTAATCCAGGAAAGAAAGGAACTGGATATGGGTAACTTCACAATATTGCATCTTGCAGAGTATTTTATTAAATGGTTTTTGAGTTTTGAATACCTAAGTAATTAATTTTGTTTTTACAGTTATGCAAACCTTACCATAGGTAAACAATATCTGCATGAACCTGATGGGTATGAAGTAGAAAGAATAAATGCAAAGGTAAAAATATTTCTCTTCATTATGTGTTAGTGTTACAGTTATTTATTACAGTGTACATGAACTTTTTGATCCCTGTGGTGTTTCCTTTAGCTTGAAATCACTAATGTTTATTTACAACATGGAGGAAGGAAAACAAATTAATGACCACACTGTATAAAAAAGATTTAGGTATTGTTCATTTATTATTTTTGATTTGAGACATCTGGCAGCATCCCACATGAGTTCTACCATACAGAATTTGCCCTTAATTTTTTATTTGAGGACCATAAGCTACAATGCAATAATGACCAAACAATGCCAATAGCAAGAACAATGATACTTCTATGTTGTTGTCAGAATAACAGGACCTCATTATCCTAGATGCTAAATAAAAAAACCCTGTTCCTTTTTTTCCTGTAAGCAACCTTGTAAATTTGCTTGCACTGATTTTAGTTATCCTGTATATTTTCATCATATGTAGTGAAAAATGGCAGCAGGAGACATTTTTTGGTTTAGGGTAAGAACAAGATTGGAAGAAACAATTCAGCTATCTGCAGTGAAGACAAATGCAGAGTCAAAACTAAGCATTAATTGTAGAAAATGAGAAGAATGGAGAAAAAAGGGAGGTGGGATTGTTTCCACTGGATAGAAAAAAAGGAATTTGCTCTGAGACATTAGAATGCATTACCAGGTGATACTGTATTACTGATGGTACATTTTATGCTTTTATTTTAATTGTTCATACTGTTTTAACCTATTTTGTTTTAAAATAGAATCTAGGAAGAACAGTCAACATCTCCCATGGTACAAAGAACCAATTCCTAGGAAAGCTCATCTTAGTGAGGTGCTCAGAATCTGAGAAACATAGTGGCCAGAGTTCACAAGTGTGGGCAGCTAGGGTGCATGCAGGCAGACTTTTCAAGCATGTATGTGTGCATGTATGCTCAAGATACAGGTATACAATACTGTTAGACACATCTTAAATGCACAGTGCTTTTCCTGACATTTTCCTACCATGTTTTCATAGTGATTGTTGTGCTTCCTGGTCAGTGAATGTATGTTCTGTTATACATGATGGGTATATAAAATACCTCAATCAACAAACAAGAGCAAAGAAAGGTAGAGTGAACATTATCCAAGACTAAATTTAAACGATTTCCATTTTTCTCTTAGAATAACATACAATAAAAATCCTCAGGATTGTTTCTTTCAAAGTATTTGTTTTACAGAAAGCGCGAGAGAAACACAAACAGTTGGTTAAAGGAGGGCCTTTCAAGTTAAAGCTATATCCCCAGCAGTATTTTGACATGAATCCCTACTTTAGTGACAAACCTTTGCCGCCTGTGAAGAAACCACCTCCAGAGAAGCCAGTTGCACCACCTTTCAAACCAAGTTCTCCTGCTAAAAAGGTTAGTTTGTCTTATAGCTAATGGAGACAAAAGATAAATATTTGGATGTTTCCTGTTAAAAGCTTTGCTTACATAAGATAGAAATAAATGTTTGGTTTTGCTATTAATTTCTTATTTCTCTTACAAAAGATATTATTCCATTTACTTTAGTTTCAGTTCACAAAGCAATGAAATCTTGTTTGACTCAACAGCAACTGCTAACTGGTTTCAAGTAAACAGAAAAGTGTTTCTGTTTAAAATCTGCATAGTGCTATTAACATACAGTTAATTGACTGCATACACCACAAAAAGATACAAAGCAGAAGTTTACAATAAATGACAGTAAGACTATAGATTACTGTGGCAAAATGAAATGCTCTCCTATTCTCCGTCAGTCACTCATATAATTTTTTAACCGCTAATTACTCTCAGCCTATATAGACAAATTCCTAGAAATGTCATGGGAATGGAGAGCTGGAAGGAGCAGAAAAACTCAAGTTAGTTCCTCTGCTAAGGGAGAGGCTGCAGAATAAACTCAAGAGTGATCCGTTGCTTGTCCATCAGCAGGCACAAATTTGGAATCTGCTTTAGAATGTGCCAACTCTTCAGTAGTTAGAAGAAAAGGAGGAAAAGGATGGGAATAAATACATGTGGAAGATGTTAGAGGGTGTAAGAAATAAAGCCTGGAGTTAGTATGAAGGATGTAGAGGAACGTAGTTCATTAGTTTCAGTTGCTTAGTGTCATTATTTCTTAAAATCTAAATGGATATTTTTTCATTCCGTTAAGCATTCCATCTTGATATGTTTTTTTGAGATGAGATACTAAATTTATGCCATTTACCTTAGGCTAAACCTTAATTTCACTTTGAAATGGGTTTATGAGACATAAATACCTCTCTCTCAAGTGACTTTCAATACCTAATAGAGTAACACCCCTTAATCTGTCAATTTTCAGCTCTTCATTTTGGAGTTAGGTTGTCAGTCATTTAATACTGTGGTCTGCTAAGCACTATTTTCCTATTATTATGTCCTTTGCCCTTGACCTGACTGACGTTGATTCATCTGAGGAAGATGATGATAGCAAGGAAAATATAACTATTCAGAAACAGACAGCAAAAATGCTTAAAAGCAAAAAAAAATAATGGTGTTGGGTGTTTGGCCTCAGAGATGATGCAGCTGAGATCTTTCGGAATGGAAATCTGTTCAGAAAAGTGAGCTGCTAGAAAGTCAGCACCTCGTCTGGCTGACAGTGCTGATGATCCTGCTCCAGGCTCCCCATCCTTCACACCTGTATATTTAAATTATGTGTACTTCCCAAGCTACTGCACACTTTTCCTCTCTGCTGTATAAATTCTTATGGGAAAAATTGCTTTATTGTTGATTGAATTGTTTACTGTGGCACTTCTCAGGAATGCAGCCTCAGCAGCCTGTGGGGTTTACATGTACTAGGGGATTGCAAAAAGTTAATCAGGTGTCTGTGGTTTTTTAACTAAAATTTGCCACTCTCGTAGTACCAGTGGACATAAAGTTTCAGGAAAAGCCAATGCTGTATTCAACCTTACATGTCGAAAGCATTTTGATAACAATGCCCAAGCCCTGCTGTACGTAACAATCCCTACACCAGTACTGGGCATGGAGGTGTACTACTAAACTAATGATGACATAGGAATTCCTTTTTTTTTGCTGCAACATAGCTCATTTTAGTGAGTTATGTTTTTAATTTTTCTGTCACATTTTTAAGATTCTTTCCTCAAAATGCAGATTTACGAAAGAACATTTAAAACTAAGAATTCATCAAAATAATGACTGAAATTTTCCTTAAAGTTTCCATTGCAAATTTAAGGAATATTTTGATTTTGTTTTTTATATAATATGATGCAGTTTACTATTCAGCAGTCTTACTTACTTTTGCATGAAAAATATTTTAATTAACTCAATTATATTGGTGCTTCAAAAAAATTATTTTTTTTTCAGCCAGGGGGCATGAAAGGAGGCACATTTGATCCTTACCCAAGCCATTCTGCTGACCCTTATGTAATTAAAAAATCTAAGGCTGCCACAACTGATAAACTTGTTTTTCATCCTCCTCCTGGACCAAAAAGCAGGCCTGTTACAAGCATAATAACTTTAAATGTCACAAGGTAAGCTCCTTTAATTTGAATTCGTGTTTCATGTATGCTGTCTACCAAAAGTCATTAGCACAGCTGTTACTGTCTAAAATAATTGAGTAAATGAAGGAATGAATTATTAACAAAAAGAAATGTATAAGGAACTTGGTTTTCAAAATTTATTCCTACTCTCTTCTGTAAATTCAGATTACTTTACAAGGCTATACATATCACAGAGACCTTCAAAATCATGCTATACAGATGTCACCAAAAATTATTATTTTTTATTCTTCTCTGACTTGATAAATATAAAAAGACCGGGAATGTTCTCGTTGAAAACAAAATCTGCTTTCGTTTTCCCTTATGTTTATGCAATAAAATTGTCTCCCTCTGCTGGCAAACATAATATTAGGTAATCTAAGCCTGTGAAGCTTTTGAAACAGTGGCACTCAAATTGGATTCCTAACAACAAACATTTCACTGTGCACTGTTAGAAGAGATTTATAGTACACAGTGTATGTATAAGGGTGGATAAGCACATAATTCTTTACTTTTTTATCTTACTGAGCTGTAACCCTTGTATTTAAACAAATTTATTTTCTGGTTTTGGCTCTTGTAATTCAAACAGAAAATCAAGACTGTTCTTTAGAGTTATTTAGATAAATCACTTTCAAGTGCAGACTTCTAAGATTGCATGTAGAACAGTTAAGCATATTATTTTGCATAGTCCATAAGTAACACGAAATATTTTAGAAATATGTGATTAAAATTTGAAAAACTGTCTTAGAGGAATCTGTTTCACATTTGTGATTTGTCTGTTACATATACGTGAAGTCTAAGAAATACACCCGCCTTATTCACCCATTGCTTTTCTATTGACTTTATTTCACCACATATTGGCATTGGCATAATTAATTTTGAAGTTGCAGGGATAGTTTGAAGTTTTTGTTTACACTGACAAGGCAGAAACAGGAGCTACATATTGCTTCATGTTGATTTTCATTACTAATGGAAAGTAAGAACGAATTGAAAGTAACTTTTTGGTACATCAAAAAGTGTGGTAACTACCAACACTCATGTAAGAAAGTACAACCTTCCATGTGCGCGCTGGTGTTTTTAATTTAGTAAAAGAGAAAAAGAACGGTATATTGGTCTGAATAGCCTTCTTATCAGTGTTATTGTTTGCATTATTGTTTTATCAACAGAATAAAAATTCTTGTTCCCCAATGAAGTCGTTTTATTGGGAAAAAACCTTAACTGTATGTGAAGTAGGTTTCAAAATTGAAAGGGGGGGACTGACTGTGAAGTATGACTATGAGCTCACAGGTACAGTTATGATGGACTCATTAAAAATATTTGTAAAGAGAAAAATTTTACATACCCAACAGAAATTTCACAGAGTACTAAACTAAATTAAAACTAGTATTTAAAATTCTTCACTACTATTTCCCTCATAAGAATTTTAAAGAATGTATTTATTTTTGGTTCATTATTCCTAGGTTTAATATGAGAACTGTGAACTGAATTTATTCTAAGTGTGAAGCTCATAGCTCATAGATTTTAAGAAATGTGGTAAGACATTTTGCAAATAATCTTCTTCCCCACTGAATTACAGTTCTTTATGTTCTTCCAGTGGAAAGCTTATCTTCTGATATTTGGACCGTAATCCTATAATTGGATTTGCTAGTGTAGATTTGTCTTCATTTAGTCAGTTGTTTTATCACCCAGTGCCCTACCCCCAATCCAAGGAGGGGAATTCGGAAAAGGAAGGGAGACCCATGGGTTGAAATGGAAACAGATTTAATAAAATAATAATAACCCCCTAATATTAATACTAATATAAAGTACACAAAGTTATACTCAGCTCATACAGTGGTCATGAGCTGCGCGCTCCCAGCAGCGGATGCTCGATGTCGAGCACTGGGAGCACCACAGCTCCAGCGAACACGCAACGGTCCCAAGAAACGGGAGAGCAGGCCTCGGGAGCAGAATGGCGGGCGAGACCCTCCAGGGATGGTGACCATTGAGGAGGAGGGCCGTCCCCAGCAAACCTCCCAGTTTATAGTGAGCGTGATGTTTATGGTACGGAATACTCCTGTTGGCCAGCTTGGGTCAGCTGCCCTGGCTTTCGCTCCTCCTGGCTTTGGCACCTGGCTGACTGGAAACTGCCGAAGGCCTTGATCAGTATGGAGACCTGCGTACCAGGCTGGCCATGAACAAAACCAGCTTTGTTCTTACCGAATTGGGTGCCTCAGTCTTCTCAAAAAATGCAGCTTTCCTGGATAGAAAATGGATTCTATGATTCTATCGCAGAAAAACCAGGACAAGATTCTTGCTCTCACACAGAGCTCTATTGAAATAAATTTGACCTCCTGAGGATTCAAATCATTAAATCTAATTACAGGACTGGGTGTACTGCAGTTTTTCATTTTTACGAAGACTCTTGTAATTTGTACAGTGATACTCTACAAAAATCTAATAAGTTTCTTTTAATTTACATTTCAGATCATTAAATGTAAAGAACTACAAGACTGCACAGCAGCCATCTTATTAAGTACAAAAGGTGAAATGAAGGGTATACTTTTTAGACACTGTAAACTGTTAACAAAGCAAATAAAAATGTGAAAAGTGGAATTCAAGTATACAGGGCAAGCCAATCTGTTTAATTATTGAGAATGCAATCTTTTGTTTCTAAATATAAAACTATAATAAATAATTTATTTATTAAGTCCAAGGTTGTATTTTTATATATTTTTCATCTTACTGCTTAACTGGGCTTCTGAAATGCACTTTTAGAAAAAATACTTTCTAATGAGTAATTTGGGTTGCAAATTGACTATATATTGCAGTGGAAGAAAGTGCATATATTTTAAAGTGAGTATCAGTGTATGTATTAACCAAGTTAGTCACGTGTGGCCCACAGTGAAGCTAAGGTCATTGTTTCCCTTTAGTAGAATTACAACTTGTACTTTATTTCAACTATAGTCTCGTGTAAGATCGGTCTTAAAGACATACAATTTTCAGTTTTGATGACCTTCTCAAAATGACCAATATTAAGCATTGTCCAAAACCAGACCGCAAGAGGCTGTTATGAAGTGAATCGTCTTTACCAGCATTATTCACCACTCTTCCTCCATTTCCTGACAACCATAGTAAGTACTGCCATATTCTCCAAGAGCACCTTAATTTCACTTTTGCATCCATGGAGGGTTCCTAACAAATCAGATGCATCTTTCAAACTAGCTTCTTCTCAGATGGAGCTGTGATCCTAAATATACACCTTACCTCCATCTCAATAATTTTTGTCGTGTTTTAATATCTGGTCCAGAAATTTGTTCATGTAAATCAAATGTAATTTATTATAAAAATAAAAAAAAATACTCAGCATTTATTTATCCGAAGTATTACATGAAGACAAAATTTCTTTATTAATTTTTATTAAAGATTTATCGTACCACTGTAGAATATTCATGAAATGGTATCCTTACTGCTGTTCACAGGATAATAGTTTTTTAAAGAAATTCCAGATGGATCTCACATTTCTTGGCATCAATGAAAATAAAAATAAAACCAAGAATTGTTTGTCAGGTCTTCCAGCATGCGTTGAAGCATAAAAGCGCTTACCTTGAGATCAACAGGGGCCAACAATGTTTTAAAATATTAATTTATACAAGAATTTTGATGGGGTTTCTATCCAAAGACCTGTAACAGAATTGCTTCTCTCTCTGTTCGTACCTTGTATTAGATAATGATACTGGTGCTGACTTTAGGTACCTTAGTGTCATCTTTGTGCAGAGTATCAGGAGCATTTGCCATGTTGTTCATTGGTGAAGCCTGCAGACACAGCATTCCTAGGGAGATTGAACTGTATTGTACTACCCCCTAACTGCTGTTCTGATGAGGTACAGCTGATGAAGACTGCTCTGAAGTTTTTCTTTGTCCTTTTGTTTCCTCTTTTTTGCAATTCTTCCTCTTCTATTTTCTTCTGTATTTCAATAATCTTTTCATTCACTAACAAGATGGAAATACTCAAAGCTGGTTAAAATGTATGGAGCTTAATTAAAAAAAAATAATCAATCCAGCTTGTTTCAGATGTTCGTGTACATGGGCTAGCCTCGTGTGGTCATCATGGGAGCCAATAACATCTCCTGGTAAGTCCCCACTAGAAAAATGTGTGGCCCCACAGAGGTGACACCCAATTCTAGCTAGGGCCTCAGTATGCTGTTTTAATACAAATGGTAATTGTGTTCCTTGGCTGCTTGGCAGTACCTTTGACTGTGATGGTGGAATTTGAAACTTTCTTAAATTTCATTCCCCAGTTACCTAAGGTAAGGAGGACATTAGACGTTACTTACCTTGTTTTCATAGTAACAGCTTTCCTGCATCTTTACAGCATAGACGTAGCCAGTCTCCTTTATAACTTAGACTTAGATCTTTAATGTAGTTTTTAGTCATTCTACTGTATGTATCAGTCACAATACAAACCCACGCTCTCTTATGTTTACAGTCTCGTATTACAAACCAGGTAAACAATTGTTAATTTGCGGCAATTGGTCTTTATGAATTATTGGAGAAAGGGAGAAACGGATTACTTTTATGTCCTTGAAGAGATGGTGCCCTTTATTGGCCAGGAGCTTGTACATCTAGTGTTGTACTAATGAGGAAAGTGAGGATAAATAATCACCTCGAAGTCTATTCTGGGAACACCAATAACTAACGACATGGTTTTACTTTCATCGATTTATCTATTAAGGAGTGAGTAAAAGAAGAAGTTCCTAAAATGTAGTCCCAGTAGTGTTGTAGAGACAGTGCATACAGGTGGCTTCTACTTCACCGACTATTACATGCTGTGTTTTTGAGAACTTCTTCCTCCCCATGGTCCCTTAGCTGAGAAAATCAGAGCATTTGTGCAGGGATTCTACCCAAGAGGATAATTTTTGTGCCTTTCCTAGCCATGACCATGTTCTCTGAATATTTTCACACTGAAAATCTTAAAATTCACGTTGTAGCTAATAAGCTTTCTATGTCAGTCTCTAGTATGAAGAGCTAAAGGGTACCTTGTGTTGTTTAAACATAGGCCAGAATTAGGTGTCACCTAAAACGTATATATGTAAACGTAGACTAAATGTCATTGAAGACTTCTTGCAGAAATAACCAGTAAAATATAACGTGTACTAAGCCGTTCAACTACGAGGTCATTAAGATTCCCTTCTGACTCGGAAATTCTACAGAGAGAGTTCTACCTTCTGTAAGCTGTCACTGTTTCATTCAGTTGCTTTATACTACTTACACTATATAAGGATCCGCCTCTGTGAACCTGTGAAATTCAGGCAAGTATCAAAAAACCAGGTAGTCATTTTTAGAACATAAGCAAAACACGGAAGTGACTCGACATCAGAACCGTAAATGTTTGACAGAAGAGCATGGTTTATTGCAATTTACTGGAAGCAACAGACTGTTGTAGATTGCCAGGAATTGCCTGGAAAAGAAAATCAGCTAATAAGATATTGCAGAGTAAAGCTCGTACCTTGTGAATCGTACGTTTACTTACAACAGAAATTTCTCTACAAATACTAGTGGAATGTTCAGAGGAACAGTTACATCGCAAGGTACGAGTGCCGCGGGACCCAGTAGCCTGGTTTCCCTTGCCCACAGACTAGAGCTGTGGCTTGCCATCGGAGATGCAGGTAATCTTCCCGCCAGTGGTGGAATTCAGATCGTAATAGATCTCTCTACTTTTCAATAGTGCAGACGTGATTTTCTAACAGGAAGTGTTTGTCAGTCAGTTGTCTAAGGTCACTTTCGTGTTTAGAAAAGACTTCCCGCAGTTCTTTCTTAAGTAACTCATTTTCCTCTGTCATGTTTGTAACTGCTGTTGATAACCTCTTGCATTCCATGTTTGCATTGGTCAAGTTAGACTTTAGAAGGTCAATACTGGCTTTTGTGTTCCTGAGTTCAGACTCAAGTTTATTTTCTGGATAAGCTTTGTCCGATGGGATTTTCTCAAAGTCCTTCTGCAGCATCTCTTTGGTATAAGAACATTGCTGCGGGGTCATTTCAAGGTTAAGTTTTTTGGCTTCCAATATTTGCACTGAGTGAAGACAAAGTTCCCATTCAGATTTCGCTCTGAGCCCTTTCTTCTCCTGGGGAACTTCCTTCTTTGGTAAGCTGGGAAGTTTCTCTCTTAAGTTTTGTATTTCTTTCTTTTAGCTTGACGCATTCCTGTTGCAAGAGCATTATGAGTGGATGGAGACTTTCTCCTTCACAGCTCACAGCAGTCACCTTCTCTTCTGCTTTCTGGTTCATCATTTGAGAATCAGGCTGTGTCTGTATTGAATGTTGCTTGCCATTATGGAGCTGGCGCCTCTCTTGCTCAAGGATGTTTTTCTGGGTTTGGAGTTCTTTCCAATTGCTGAAGGTGTTCTTTGCTTCCTCAATATGTTCCTTGTTACCTTCTTGTGATTTAACCAAGTGGATGGGCACACTTGTCTTTTCTTCAGCGAAATCCTTCATTTGCGTATTACACGTTAATACATTTTCTTTCAAAGGCAGATTGGTAACAGTGAGAGGTTCCACTTTGTTCTGGAGGGATAAATTTTCATTCGGAAGATCACGTACTCTTTCTTGCCAAAACCCAGCATGCGGGAAAAACGGCAAAACGTTGCAGTCCTGGAAGCGTAAGAGAGTGAACTTGTTACCCAAGCTACTTATCAATCCTGACTTGTCCGGCTTTCCTCTGCCAGTGCCATTTCCCCATTGAAAGAATGTAAACAATTAGTGTAGGCCCCATTTCACTCAGTACTGGGCTTTGGAGCAGGCCCAAAATAGCACGTAAGGGTCTTACATTGATTAAGTCTATTTCCAGCAGAGGAGAGGTGACTTAAGGAGGCTGGAGTTTGTCTTACATTGTTTTTGTCAACCCAGTCGCTATGAAATGAGGGCAAACTGGAGTTCCCATTACAGACAGACAGAAGAAGTAGGGTCTATGCAGCATTTCATGGGCGAGGGGCAAAATTTACTCCCTCTCCTCATTTCTGTCTCTTCTCTCCTTGACTCTGCCCGGTCTCCCTATATGCTTTACATTGCCTTCCATGCCCACTGAAGAGAACCCGAACTACTTTGGGGAAGATCAGGTTACAGTTCTACCTGAGCAGAATAGAAACTGGGTTTTAATCATAATGGGTGGGAGGGAAGAGTATATCTAATCACGGCTAAAGTTCTGCTACCCAGACAAAATCTCAGGAAGAAGATACTGTTTGGGTTTTGGTTTGGTTTGGTGTTTTTTGTTTTGTTTTGTTTTGTTTTTTTAAATCCAGAATGTCCCTTGGGTTATTTTCCAAAACCATGTCACCCTCAAAACCCAAGGTCCAGCCGCAGAATAACTTGCTGGTAGGTAACAATTGTTAAGCATACCAAAGATGTGCTGCTTGGTGTGCCAGTCATCTGAATCTCGCCTGAACTGTGTACTGGAGTTTTCCTTTCAAACAGATTTTTAGTCAGCATCTCCTGGATTTTAGACTGCACCTGAAAAAGATTGAGATTGTTTACAGAAAACTTAGCAAATGTAGAAATATTTCATTTTCCAAAACCACCCCATTACTCCAGAAGTTCTCTGTTAGGAAGGACAGACCAGATGGAAGTGGAACATGGAATTGTATAGAACCAACAAAGCATAAAGCTAACTGTCCTTCCAGCATCAGCTATTTAGCTTTTCTATAAAGAACGCGATAAAAGAGTGGCAGAAAAACGCTCCTGAAAAGGCGGCTTAGCACGTTGTGAGACATGGCAGTTTGCAACACCAGAAGAAGTTCTGCTGGCAGTGACACGATGTGGAATTAACTTCTTTGGAAGCAACAGAGCTTCCTTGCATTTGCAGTGATAGGAAGGAGAGAAGGATCTTGTCCTTCCCTTTTCCTAACTTGGCTTTGTTTTTCCTCTGTTTTTTTCTGAGGTTATAAAATAGTTTCTAGAGGCCCTCAAAGAATGCTGTGACAAAGAGCAAGCAAGAACCCGGAAGTGAAATTAGCTTCTCAGCTATTTGAAGTTGGACAGGGGATTAAATGTGTACTTTGTGTACACATTAGTCTAAGAACAGATCTTCCTTTCAAACACCTAGGGCAGTATCTCAAAATGCAGCAGGAGGCTTTTGTGTTTTGAGAGCAGTCGTGTTCTGCTTTTACCCTGTTAATATTCTCTAGAGTCTTCTGCTGAAATGTCCAAAATGATTTCAGCTGTTGCTGAAGAACCTGAAATGTAAAAACCAAATAGCAGAAAATAGGTAGGTAGGGTGTTTTTTTGGCTGTTTTTGGTTTAAAATATTGAGATGAGTTAGGCTATTTTCTCAGCTGAAATTATGTTTCTTTTTCAGTCCCAAGATTGTTTTGACCCAGCCTGAATCAAGAGGGGTTCACCAAATGCTTCTTTCACCAATCAGTAGAAGCTCATTTGCAGGGTTGGAAGGAGTTCAGCATAGTTCTTCGCAGACAGATGTTCAGGTTACAGAAAGCACTGTCACACCTGGCATTGCTCTGGATGTCGGTCTTTGCAGTGAGACCAAATGTTAGAATTTCTACTTGAGTTCCAAAAATCACTGCTCTGGTTTAGACTGTGGCGTAGTGGTTGGGCCATATAAGAATGTTGGAGTGTCTCTGGGATTATTAAAGGGAAAGCCTTGTATTCTGCACTAACAGAAGTTGTCTTGGCAAACAACTGAGAAGTGCTTTAAAATCCATAGTGCACATTCTTTACATAGATCAAAGGATTCTTCTCCGAATGAATCCTTCTTAGGTCCCAGGCATTCAGAAGCTCGGTGAAAATCTCAGCTAGAGGAACGAGCATGTGCATAGAGCAAAATTTGCCCAGCTTTCCATGTGTTCTGCTTTGGAAGAAAATTCCCCCAACTACAGAAGAGGAAGAACTGCATGTACACTCAGTACTGTTCGTACACCCCGTGGCAGAGCTATGCGACTGTACGGCTATTCAAAGCAAAGCCCAAGCATACTGTCATGGTTTGAGCCTACCCTGCTGGCTCCAAAACCTCCATGCAGCCGCTCGCTCACTCTTATGCCGTCCCCTGAGGGGTGGGGAGGAGAAAATGCAACCAAAAGGGCTTGAGGGTTGGGACAAAGGACAGGGAGGGCTCACTCACCAGTGATGGTCATGGGCAAAAGACAGACTCAACTTGGGGTTAACAACACACCTTTAACACAAAACAAGCACTACCATCAAGGAGAATGAGAGACGGAACCATATCTTAAGTACAACACACCTTCTGCTGCTGAACACCCCTCCGGCCTTCCCGGGCTCAGCTGTGCTGCCTCTTTCCCCCCAGCGGGGCAGTGAATGGGGATTACAGCCAGTCCGGCACAAAATGTCTCCGCTGCTCCTTC